AAGAGATCTCTCTTCGCATTAGGTGACCAAAGTATCTGAGCTTGAGCTTCATTATCGATTCCCCCTTTTTAGAAATGCTTTTAAACTGATGTTTTATGTATTTATATTTATGTTTTTAATGTTCAGTGTGAGTCGCCCAGAGTTCCCCCACTGGGGGGAGATGGGTGGGTGAGAAATTTAATAAATAAATAAATAAAATCCACTTTGGCTTTATTAATTTCAATGGGATGCACACAACCTGAATGCTGCTTCTGAAATCCAGAAACAGCATGCTTGGAAAGACAATACATAAATCCATCAGCTAAATAAATGTAAAGCATTGCATATAATTGAATAAAGAACTGCTCATGTTGGGATATATTTATCTCATTTTATTCGTCTTGCAATGTTCTTTTTTTTTTTTTTTGGTAGCTCTTCAGATGGCAAACCTGAGAGTTACTGCTGATGAATATGTCAGAAAAATTTTTTTTAAGGAGGTGTAAAACAGCCCCCAAAGCAATATATCCTGTGAATGAACATACATTTGGTTACTTGTAATAATAGGGGTGCCTCTCCCAGGTTATGTCACTTGAACACCATGTAACCTTATACAGAAGAAGAACGACAAAGAAGTGCTTCCAAGCAGATCCATTGTCCATCCTGAATAAAACAAAGACCTACCGAGCATCGTCATCTCGGGTGACAAGAAGGCGCATATAGCTGGTGCCGGAGGCTGTCCTGAGGATGTCCACAGCTCTGTTGGAAGTGAAGAAAAGGAGCAGGAAATGAACTAGGGCCCATAAGTCAGCTTCTACCTAAAACATCATTAGTATGGTTGGTCACACAGTCAGCCAGATGTTTAGACTAGATCTGACATTTTTGTCTACCTATAGAGTCCTTCCCAAGGACCTGGGAGAGGCAGGTATTGTTGTCTGATGGTGTCAAAGGTATCGTTGCAGAATGGAAGCTGTTCCAAGTAAAGCTGCCTTTTGCAAAGAACTGTTGGGGGTTTTGTCAAGGCCGATGGGCTTCAGGTGGTGCTCCAGATGTTTTGGGATTGCACCCAAGGCGCCTATATCTGTGGGTACTATCTACACAGTCTACTGAATAGTTCTGACTGGATTTGGTCCTTTTAACTATCTGACCCTTCCCAAGGTGTCCAGGAGAGTTAAAGATGCTATCATAATATATGCACTCTTCCAAGTAATGCAATTTTTTGTAATTGATGGGTTGAGACACTGTCAAATCTGATTCTTATCCAAGTGCTTTTCTGGATCTTTTGATATTGTACCAGCTGTACCAACCACTATTGGCACCCCTACGGCTTTCTTTTTCCACATTTGCTTGACCTCCATTTGAAGATTTTTCCCTATTTTTCCCTACTTCTTTTTCATTTCCATGTCCCTCTCCAACTACTGCAGTGTCAATTATCCATACTTATTTCATCATCATCATCATCATCATCATCATCATCATCATCATCATCATCAGTAGTAGTAGTAGTAGTAGGTAGAAGTGCCTGTTTTAGAAGGACAGACCTGATTTATACTTGGATAGGAGACTGCTAGGATATCCCAGGGCTGTAGGCCAGATTTGGAAGATGAAAAACTTC